CTCTGCCTCTTCCCAGGACCAGGCTGGGGGCTCCCAGGAGCCTGCCCGGGGCCGCAGGAGGCGGGCACCCACCTGGTCTAGTGCGGAGATCGTGGACCTCATTGAGGTTTTGGGGGAAGGCCTCCAACAACCACGATCTCTGCACTAGTCACAGGAATGCGGCCATCTACAGCCACATGGCTGCCAGCCTGGCCACCAGGGACCACATGCGGACCCAGGAGCAGGTCTGCTGCAAAATAAAGGACCTGCTGCAGGCCTACTCCAGGGCCTTCTATCCAGCGGCTGACCCGGAGGCATGCCCTCATTTTGAGGCCCTGGACCGCATCCTGGGGTCTCACGCAGTCCCTGCCTCCCAGGTGGTGATAGACCCCGGGGCAGAAGGCCCCGCCCCTGAAACAGGGGAAGAGGAGGAAGACGAGGAGGATGCAGGAGCCTGCAGGGAGCTTGCCCAGGACCCAGGACCCCCGAGTCATCCCACAGAGCCCATCAGCTGTGTCATCTGAGGCTGGGGAAGGCTCCGCATGCAATGAGGAGTAACGGTAGTTTGAATTAAGAGTGTTAATTCAAACTACCTCGCCCATGCCACATGTATCAGGCCCCTGGGTTGGTGATCGACCCCAGGGCAGAGGGCACCATCCGTGACACGGAGGAGGAGGAAGAGGATGCTGAGAGCCAGAAGCCTGCAAGGAGCCTGCCCAGGACCCAGCCCCCCGAAGCACCCCACAGAGCACATCAGCTGTGTCGTCAAAGGCCGGAGAGGGCTCCACATGTGAATGCCATCATGCTCCCCTTATGTGTATGGAGGGGGTGGGGGGAGAGGGAGCCCAGGGACCATGCACCTGGGCCTTTCTCACCATGGAGCAGCAGTTGAGTGTCATGTAGGACCCCTGGCTTCGCCTTGCAGAGCGGGGCTGGGTTTCACCCACTGTGTCTCAACGGAGAGCTGACCACTACTCGTTTCACCACAGCCCTAGCACCTGGGACTACAGGGCGCACCACCCCGCCTGCAACAGTCACCCGCACCCAGGCCAGCAGGCGCACCTGCAACCTGGAGGACGACCAGCGGCGGCACCTGCGGCTACTAGAGCACCAGATCTGCATCCAGGAGCACTGGGTCCGGGAGGACCTGTGGCTGCGGCAGCGGAGCTTGGAGGTGCTGGGGCCATGCCCTCAGAGGCTACATCCAGCCCCTGGGTGGACAGGTTCCTGCCTCCTCCTTCTCCAGCCCCTGCGGCCGCCCCAGCTCTCGCTCCTCCTCCCACCCCTGCTCTCCCTTCTGCTTCCTCTGCACCCCCCCGTCCCTCCTGCCCCACCCTTCATACCCACGTCCCCCCGATGTCCCCACACCCGCAGTGCTGTGAGACGGGAGAGCCAGAAGGACCCCTAACCCTGAGTTTTTCCTCCCCTATCTCCCCCCTTGCAGCTCCCTCCTCCCAGGTTTCCCTCTCTCCTCTCCAACCCTCATTCTTCCCTCCCCCACACCAGTTATGTACAATCAAAAGAGGGTTTTTTTGGCAAAACAAGTTTTTTTTATTTTACATTAGGAAGGGGGGTTGGAGAGGGGAGGATGGAAGAAGGCCCCAGTGGGGCATGCAGGGAGAGTTCAGTCCTCCTCCACCTGGAAGTTCTCCCGCAGGGCTTCCCGGATCTGGACGGCCCTCCGCTGGGCCTCCTCGATGGCAGCAGTGCGGGGCTGCGTGTACTGTCCAGCCATGCGCTCAGCCTCAGCCATCCAGGTCTCATCAATTGTACAGCACACAACATGCTGCCACCACGGGAGGGATATTGTGCTCGGCAAGGTCAAGCCAGATGAGGAGGCATCTAAATTGGGCTTTCAGGCGTCCAAAGGCCCTCTCTACCACGATGCGGGCCCTGGTGAGCCTAGAATTGAAGGCCTGCCAGGAAGGGTTGAGGTGCCCCGTGTAGGGCTTCATTAGCCAGGGCTGTAGGGGGTAGGACGCATCCCACACCAGGTAGATGAGCATGTCCACATCCCCAACCCTGATGTGGCGGTTAAGGAAGAAGGTCCCGGCATGCAGCCTCTGGCACACGGACGAGTTGCGGAACACCCTGGCGTCGTGTGCCTTGCCGGACCAGCCCACATTAATGTCCGTGAACTGGCCCCGGTGGTCACACACGGCCTGCAGGAGGACGGAGAAGTACCCCATACGGTTGATTAACTGGGAGGACTGGTGTTCCGGGGCATGGATGGGGATGTGTGTCCCGTCGATGGGCCCCTGCAGTTGGGGAAGCCGAGGGTACCGAACCCCTGGATGACCGCGTCAGGGTCGGCGAGGCAGACTGCCCTGCGGAGCAGCACCCGGTTGATGGCCTTGACCACCTGCAGAGAGACACACCAATCACGAATCACTGGGGCACTCGGGTGTTTGGGAGTGTTCATTCCCTGGCACTGCCCCGTGCGATCCTGGCTGCCACGGGCAGCATGTAATATGGCTGGGACAGACTGAACCCTGCCGTGCAGGGCACTTTCACCTCCTCCCCCCCGTTTTCCCTGGGGCAGCCCATCCCCTCCTTACAGCCCCCCTCCCCCTCTGCCCAGTGGCCGGTGAGTGCCGTACCTGCATGAGCATTGCTCCGATGGTGGATTTCCCCACGCCGAACTGGTTCCCGATGGATCGGTAGCTGTCCGATGTGGAGAGCTTCTACAAGGCAATGGCCACACGCTTCTGGAGGGGGATGTCCCGTCGCCGCAGAGCAGGGGCGAGTCACTCGCAGAGCTCTAGGAAGGTGTCCTTCTTCATCCTGAAGTTCTGGGTCCATTGTTGGTCTCCCCAGCGCTCCAGGACGATGCAGTCCCACCAGTCGCTGCTGGTGTCCAGATACCAGATGCGGCATCCAGTGTCCACACTGGCATCCGGGCGCTGCTGCGGCTCTTCCACGACCCCCTAGGGAGGCCAGGGGGAGAGGTAGGGGGCTGACGTGCACCAGATGGTGCTAGGCAGCCTCCAGCCATTGCTGGCAGCCTTGCAGCAGCAAGTCCAAAAACTGGAGTAGCATTCCCAGGCGAGTTCTGGCTCCATGGTGCCAACTGCGGTGGCATCCCCAATGGGAACCACCGACACAGGCAGGCAGAGAAGAAAACGCTTTGCTGTCCGTCGGCGAGGTAGGCAAGCAAGCGGAAAAGCTGAGGACCGGCTGTCCAGGGGGGTCCCTTTAAGCATGAGCCTCAGACAGCAGCCACACAAAGCAAGTACTGACCTGATGCCCTGCTGGAACCGGTTTCAGCTTCACTTAAATGCGACCCAGCGTCCAATCAGTGTGGACGCACTATTTTAAATTAGCAAAACTCTAATGTGAATTAGTTTTTGGGTCTAGATGTGTCATTTCAAATTAGCTTATTTCGAATTAACTAATTTGAAATCAGTTAGTTCAAATTAGCGCTGTAGTGTAGACAAACCCTAAGGTGCCACAGGACTCTGCATGCCAAAGCCCTAGACTTTTAACATGGCTTTGCGCCATTTGCAAGCCATTGAAGCAAAAGCCCTAATTACCATGTACATGCTTTCCTAACAGACCTTTAACAGTAGAATTTGGGTCATTTACCCTGCAGGTTGCTTACCCCTTTTTGGCTCAGTGTCTCAGTATCCTTGGTGCCTCATTCCCCTCAGCACCTGCTCACCCTCCATATCTCTCTTCTCCTGGCACCCGTCCCTGCTTCCACTCCCACTTTCCCACAACACCCCCTTCATACTCTCCTGGAATTTCCCTCCCACATAACCCAACTCCCCCTAAATTGTATTAATTTACCTAGACTAAGAGGCCAAGGGTGTTAACACAATCCATTCACCATTCAACACAAACCCCTTTTAAACCAGGTCTGGTATCCAGAGAGCTCAGCCTGCTTAGTACCAATGGCAAACACACCACTACAAATCCTCCCTGTCTTCGAGATACAGGGACAAGCTAGCCACGGAAAGGACCTGAAAAGTGTTGTGTAGGGTTTGCCTTTTAAGAGCGTCCCTTTGTCTTGCACTGGGGAGAGTTTTGAGCCCTTGTTTGACAGTCTCTTAACTACTGTCTGAGATGCTCCTTTCTGAGGAGCTAGGCCTAGCCTAAACTCAGGTCCACCAATGGTGGAGCGGGGGCAAAGGGGATCCAGGGAGATACTAAAGGGCCCAAGGCTACAGTAGTCCCAGGCCACATTGAATCACCATGAGCACACCAGAGCACTGCTCTGGGAGTTGCATGGGGCCCCAGCATCATGACCTGGGTGGTGCTGATGCTGGCTGGGCCCACGCCCCCTACCCATTCTGGGGTGCAGAGCTGGCCCCCCTACACCTTGTCCTGGGGCTCATAGTGGCTGTCAGCCCCCCGCCTACATTAATACTACAGGACAATGTAAATTATGTTGCATAAGCCCATAAATTATGTACCTCAAGTCAACAAGTTCTAATATTTACTTAGGGTGATTTCTTCACCATTCAATGCCAATGGAAGGATTATTAAAGTATTACAGATGTTAAAATGCATTTATTTTTGTAACATATATCCACTGAAAATGTTATCGGTTACATATTTACACGGGCGGTGGAGGGCAGGAGCTGGTGCTTGGCAGGTAGGTGGCTCCCCGGAGAACAGCTATATGGGTGTGAATCCAGACTAACTCCTTTGATTTAATTAATTCTGGATTGATTTCAGTCTGAACTTAGATGAGAAGTTGGCCCAAGTTCTATGTTTGGAGAAGGTTGGGAAATGATGTCATTTTTTCCACCTTTTATTAACTGGAAGGATTTCCTGATTCTTTGACTTCAGTGGGAGCGGGAGCACCGATGGGAAAACTCTAGCTGACTTCAATTAGAGCAGCCAGCCCCTCATTCGAGACTTTAGCGAGGAGAATGCAGCCACTTGCGGGAAGCAATAAAATGGTAAAACACATGAGATTCAGCCTTCCCCTACTCCCATACAAGGAGAAGCCATAGAGTAGCAGCTATCAGAGGACACTGAAGATCAGCAGCTTCCTCTTCCAGCAAAGGAGGGGACTTGTGCTCTAGCAATGGAGCAAGAGTTGATTTTCACCCCACATGCAATAAGCGTCTCCCCTTTTCAGGAGGACTTATCCCTTTCCTGGAAAGAAAGCAAAGATGTGATGACATGGTCAAGGCCACTGAGTGAGTGTTTAATGTGGAAGAGGGGGACTTGTTCTAGAACGCAATAGACAGAGCTCCTGGGTTCTTTTCCTGTAGGGGCAAAGGAACTAGGAGAAATTCCTGGCCGTGCTGACCCTCACAGATGGGGCCAGCCCTCTGAACAAATGAAGATTCAGTCTCAGTCTTGTTCAGAAATCTCTTCTGATCCTGTAATGTAAGTGATGATATTTCAAAAGCCAGCGTCTGCCCACGCCATGTAGAGAGCTCCCAGGAGCTCACAAGAGACCCCAGGAAGGAAATGTGGAGGGAGGGTCCTATTAAAAAAAATTCTCTGTTGGTCAGCATAGGAACTCAAGGCACATGGGATTCTCCCAGGTCTGCATGGGACCAATACTCCTGTTCCATTCTCAGCTGGACTACCACAAAGCACCAGTCACTTGGAGGTGCACATGCTGCTGTTCCCTCAGTGGATAGAGGGGGAGGGGGAAGGGGAGCATTTCTTCCCAGCATACCAGATTCAGCAGCAAGGTTCGGGGCTTTCTCTTCCTCCCTCAGTGGGAATCTGGTGCTGGCGCTCCAACCATGCTGGCGGAGGGAGGTTGGAGGGGGAGGGTGCAGCACCAGTATGCGCCCCCCACTGCTGGGGGAAGTAGGGATGCTGAGCTCAAGCTGTGGACCACCAGGAAGGCAGGGAATCATGGGAGGGCTTTCACACACACCCTGATATTATTGTGTTGACCAATAACAGTTTTGGCCATTTGCTACAGAAGATAGACACTCACCAGACCACCACCAGCAATTCTGGGGCCAAGGCAGAAATCAATGGTCCCTCTGCTCCCTTTGCTCTGCTGGACCACAAGCCCCTCTCCCCCCACCATCCTTCCAGAAGACCCCTGTGCTGGCCCAGTCCTATCCACCACCTTCTGGGTGAACCTCAGAGCAGCCTCACCGAGCCTCCCCTCACTTTCCTCGACCCGACCTGCCTTCTGGGAAAAAGCTGCAGCAGCATCTCTTGATTCGAAGACACTTTTGATATGCCCTAAGCAGGATCCATGTCCTGGGAATCCAGCCCCAGAACCTTCATGGAAAATATCAGAAGAGTCTTTGAATCAAGAGATCCTTTTTTGGCAGAACTTTTGTGGGAGCTGCTGGGCCCTGGGTACTTTTTAATTGGTGGGCCCTTGGGAAAGTGCCCCCCTTGCTTCTCCCCTACCAGCAGCAGGCCCAGATACTCAGCAATGAGGCTGCTAAAAGGAGACCCTGTTCCATGGATGTGTGTCACATGGCAGTGTTGGAAAAAGAGAAGAGTACCACAATTCCAGTGCTAAGGGGGGCAGCTGACATCGAGATCTCAAATGTCGTAGTTCTGGTGCTGGGTTTTTCAATCCTTTGAATCCATCTCTTGTACTCCTCTCTCACCTAGAAAAATAAGGAGCACGCCCATTGACTCATGTAACCAACGACCCATGAGACGCGTGCACAGTTTAACACCCCTCCCTTCTATGTCCCAACAGAGCCAAAGGACTGGAATTCTTGTGACCAACTTCCCCACCCCAAATCCCCACATGGGAAGTAGGATGAGACGCTCTCAGCCCCTCGTTGCAATGAGCCAAATTCTGTTCATCAGGTTGCAAAGTCCAAACTAGCAAATGCAAGTTGATGCAGCTACCACCAAACTACATGGTACAGCTAACCTGTCTCAGGTCTTTAATGTGGATGGAACCCATGCCACTTGGCATGGCATCCTGTCCCCTCCAGTGGCACCTTGCTCAGCTAAAGATTAACTGAGCATTAATGGAGCTGCTGAGCTGAACAGGCGACAGGCCCTGGGCTTTACCTGGCGATTGAGGAGACAGTGCACCAGGAAAATGAAGGCTCCCTGCAGGCTGTTGACAATGGTGAATAAATACGCCATGACCTTGCCAGGTAGGAGCCCAAAACTCCAAGTGCAGCCCAGGATGAAAAGCTGGGCAACTGCTTTAAATGTCAGCAACCTGGATTCAAGCAGATGAAGAGATCCCATTACAACCCTGTGCAAAGGGGTGGGCAGGCTTGAAGTAGCGAATGCCCTCCAGGTAGCCACTATTCAAAAAGTCTCCGATAGACACTGGTGGGAAATGCTTCTTGATGGGACCTGTTTGCAGAACAACTGTACAAATCAGGTTTTTATTTCTGATACCAGGCTCTTTAGTGTATTTACTCTCACACCCACTCGGTGAGGCCGGACAGAGTAGGGTGCTGGAACTATTTGCATAGGACAGACTGGCATGCTTGAACTATTTGCAGAGTGTAGGTATTGAGAGTCACTGAACCAAATTGTAACCCTGCGTCGGACAGAAACCTCCTTTCATGCTAGAGGGTGTGGCAGCAACCTTCTTGCACTGATGGTAAGAAAGTGATCTTCTCCCCATTTTCCAGCTGGAGAACCAGAGCATGGAGATACTACAGCTGCCTACACTGCAGAATTTTTGCACAAAAACTTGCAGTGTCCACACGTCAAGTGCGTTTTGCGCAAGAAAATTGACAGTGAATCGACAGAACAGGGTTTTTTTTTTTTTTTTTGCGTCTATACTGCAAGCGCGTTTTTTTCGAACAGAGAGGTTTTCCCAGCCTTGCTATTCCTCATTCTATGAGGAAGAAACCTTTTTCAGAAAGAGCTCTTTTGCAAAAAGGCGTGTGTGGATGCGGAAGAGGGAGTTCTTTCGGAAGAAGAGGAAAGAGGAAAAAGCACAGGTACCCTGACGGCCATTCTGCCCACAGCTTACATGAGAGAGAGCTTAAATTTGGTCTGGACACTCTCTTTCAAAAAAGCAGATCGCTTTTTTAATGCACTTTTGCAGTGTGGATGGTCACTTTCAGAAGAAGTTGTTTTGGAATAACCCTGATTCTTCATACAAGGTTTACCGGTTATTTCGGAAGAAGGGTTTTCTTCTGAAATAACCACGTCTAAATAGCATTATTTCGAAATACAGTATTTCAAAATAGCGCCCACCCGCAAATATGCAAACGAAGCACAGGATATTTAAATCTCAGCTTCATTTACAATTTTAAATGTCTGCATTTACATCCTTCTCTCGAAAGAGGGTACAAGTGTAGACGTACCCAAGGAGAGCTTTAAGGCCTGAGACAGGTTTTTGCTTGTCTCTGGCAGACTCCTGAAGTATTTTAACAGCTGGATCTCAGGTTAGATGTGTTCTGTGTGTTGGTGGTTTTTAAGCACTTGTGTGCCTAGTTTTTAAACCATATTTCAGATGCTTACCTTTATGATGTTAGGATGTTCTAATTGATTAGTTTAATATATCAACTAGGTTAAACTGTCTGACATGTTATTTGGATGAGTGCCTGTCGTGAGGCATTTGCTGATGTCCATCTTTAAAAATATTTTAAACTGGTACAAATGGCCTTTTTGCTGTTACCAATCAGCAGTTTGCAACACTTGTGAAACCTGGTGTCATTTTTAACTTAAGATTTATGGTTTACTAGTCTGTGCTAACGTGTTGCGCATCTACTTCTACATCACCTGGAAGGTCTTGCTTAAGCAGTTAGCACAAGTGCTATTTTTATAGGTGTCAGCCTCCAGATTTTTTGCACTTTTGCTACTTTTTCCTTAGGCACTTGCCCTTTATCCTTATTCTGTAACAATTCATATTCCATGAGTATGTGCTCACTGCCTGGACTACAAAACAATGTGAGAGGAAATAGAGGAAGATTGACTTGGTCAGTGTTACACTGGTGATCAGAGACAGAGCAAGGCGCAGGGTGCTACAATGCTGGGTGCTATCCAGTATCTATCAATGAACTGAGGTCAAATTCGTAACTCTGCTGCAACCAGTGAAGTGAGACAAAGTCTGGATCTGCCTGGTATGGCTCTGCACAAAACTGGCTTTAGAGTCTGGGCCCATCAGTCTGCACTGCACTCTCCCATGCTACAGTATCAGGTACACAACAAACCGTTACATAGCTCAGCTGTTCTAGTCCATATCATGAGTCTGTGTAAGAACGAGGGAACCAAATCTTTAATGGCAAGCCATGGCTTCTCTCAAACGTAGAGTTCGCCTTGCAGGGCTGTTATTGTGGTGGTTTCCAATCAGTTTGTAAAGGAGATGAAGGTGTAGGTATTCCTCTTTCAATGAGGAATAACACGTTTTTGCGCAAGCGTTCTTGCACAAAAAAGTGTGTGTGGACAGGAAACAGTGTTTTTGCGCAAAAAGCAGCCTATCGAAACAAGCACAGGTGCCCTGGTGGCCATTCTGTGAATGGCAATCAGAGCTTTCTTACAGGAAAGCGTCCGTGCAGTCAGGACAATCTCTTGCGCAAAAGCGCATCACTTTTCCACTGTGCTTTTGGAGTTTGGACACGCACTTGGGCAGGCAGTTTTTTCTGGAAAATCTCTTCCACAAGAAGCTTCTTGCGCAAGAAGCCTGCAGTGTAGACGTAGCCACCATAACTTGGCCAAGGTCACACAGGAAGTCTGTGCTAGGGCAAGAAGTTAAATGCACGTCTCCCCCAAAGCCCAGACTAGCAGCCTAAACCACTCTGATGTACATGTAGATGGTATCATGACCTTTCTTTCTCTGAGGAAGTGGGTTGTGCCCACGAAAGCTCATGATACCATTGCTAGTCTCTAGATGCTGAAAGACTATTCATTGTTTTTTAGGTATTTCCTTAGTTTACTTGACAGAAGACCCATCCCCCCACAGAAGGCTAACTGGACCTCTTGACAGGGTTAGTGCTTTCATACCTTGTGTTTTTGACGGTAGACACATCCGAATTGAGGGAGCAGATTTTGTCTCTCAGGATCCAGAGGGTTGTGATAAAAAATGTACAATTAATCTGTGGAAACAACACAAGTTGAGTGGATCAGACCCCAGGTCCATCCGGTCCAGTATCTTACCTCTGTATTAATACTAGATGCTCAGAGGAAGTGATAAAATCAGTCCCTTATAAGGTCTCCTTTTGGCCTTTGATAGATGCAGATTGGTTAAAACCCTGAAGAACGGGGTATTATGTCCCTTCCAGACCTTTTGTTAGTCCTGATAAAACAACTCTGGACATTATTCTGGCTCCCCACAGAAATGAAAAATAATGACTCACCAAAATAATAAGGCAGACCGGTCCAAGAAAACTCCACAGAAAGCCATTATCTGTTTCAAGCCAGCAACTAAAAGGTAAGATGGCAAAAAGGTAACAGATTACTCCTGGCAATAAAAGAAAGTGAATTCTCCTCTTGGGGTTACCAGAGTTGCTATCTCGGAGAAATGGGAACAATAAAACTAAGGTCTTAATTCAGAAGAGCCCTGACACAGGTGCCTTTTGGAACTGGGGCCTGGGAGAGGGAAAATGAAATACTGGTTGCACCTCTATAAACTGGAACTCTCTGGGCCAGCAACATTCATGGTGTGGAAGAACCATAGGATCAGAGAGTCCTGGTGCATTGCAGGGGGTGAAGGGCCAGGAGTCCAGTGCACTGTGAAGAGTGGGAGGGAGGCAGAAGCCTGTTGCATAACCCAGTTGGGGATTCTGGGGGAGCTGGGAGACTGGCATGAGACCCAACTGGGCTGTCTGGGGCAGGAGTGAGGATTTTTAGAGTCTGGGGATAACAATTGCACTTTCTCAACAGCTTTATGGCCTGCACACTGGCGGCTAGACATGTAAAAGCAGAATACACTCGTATGTACACAAATAAGTTTGGTCTTTCCTGCAAGTCTGGCATCTCTTTTCTTGGGGAGGGTGAACGCTGCCTGCTTCTCTTTATGTCAGTCTCATAAACCTAGCTTAGAGAAACTAGTTTTGTAAGAACATAAGAACGACCACACTGGGTCGTACCATCTAGCCCAGTATCCTGTCTTTGGACAGTGGCCAATGCCAGATGCCGCAGGGGGAAGGAACAGAAAAAGGACTCCTCAAGTGATCCATCCCCTGTCACCCATTCGTAGCTTCTAACGAACACAGGCTGGGTACATTCTGAGGACTGGGAGGCGAATTACCAGTGTGTACTTTAACTGCACTTCTTGGAAACTCAGTGATACTGATGATGGGGGAAAGGTCCCAGCTTTGGCAGTTAAAATTGCAGGTGGGGTTACTAGTGAATCAGCCAAACTCAAACTTGGTGTTACCCAGTATGGGGGGGTGGGGGTCACATCCTGATTCCTCTTTGGGGTAGACCCAGCACTTACTGTTTAGTACTTCCATAGCCATCAGAATTCACTGCAGCAGAAATAGCCACGATCAGAGCTGGGAATCCGTAGCCGAACGGGTACATGTATCTCTTCTTGAACCGGCTGGCACTGGTGTAATTCACCACCTTCAGGTTCCTGACAGTGAGGAAGAGGTGCAGCCCCTCCAGGAACATCCAGGTGAAGCAGGCCAGGAAGAGGTAGTGTAACAAGCCAGCAATGACCGCACAGCCCTGGAGGTGACAGAGAACTCAGCAACTCTGGCATGTAGCTCATTATGGCAGTGAAAGCAACAGTTATTTGATGTGTCCTCAAGCTGGGGAGAAAATAGCACCCAAAAATTGTGAAATATTTAACAAACCCCTCTGCCATGTAGGACTACACCTGGCATACAGTGGCTGCTTTACTTCATCAAAGCAGTAGAGAGTGGAACTCAGATCATCCTGGTCCAAAAGCAGGTGCCCCTACTTCGTGGCTGCTTTACTTCATCAAAGCAGTAGAGAGTGGAACTCAGATCATCCTGGTCCAAAAGCAGGTGCCTCTACTTTATGAGCTGAAAGAGAATCTCCATTAGAGGCTAATATTAGAGGCTATTGGCCCTTGTGAGACAAGCTGCTCCTGTGATAAAGCTGCTTCAGAAATCTGAGTTCAGTTCCCAGCCCTGCCACTGACTTCATGTGCGAGCAAGTCAATTCCTCTCCCTCCGCCTCAGATCCTCTTCCATAAAATGTGGATAAATAGAATTTTGTCATAGAACCACAGAGCTGGAAGAGACCTCAGGAGGTCATAAGGTCCAGCCCCCTGCCCAAGGCAGGACCAATCCCAACTAAATCAACCCAGCCAGGGCTTTGTCAAACCGAGACTTAAACACCTCTAGGGATGGAGACTCCACTACTTCCCTAGGGAACCCATTCCAGTGCTTCACCACTCTCCTAGTGAAATAGTTTTTCCTAATATCCATCCTGGACCTCTCCTACTGCAATTTGAGACCTTTGTTCCTTGTTCTGTCATCCATCCAGATAATTAATAAAGATTTTGAACAAAACTGGTCCCAGAACCGAACCTTGGGGCACTCCGCTAGAAACCTACTGCCATCCTGACATCGACCCACTGGGCCTGACCTTCCAGGCAGCTTTCTATCCATCTTACTGTCCATTTATCCAATCCACATTCCCTTGACTGGCTGGCAAGAATATTGTGTCAAAAGCTTTGCTAACGTCAAGGTATATCACATACACAGACTTTCCCACATCCACAGAGACAGTTACCTAATCATAGAAGCTAATCACACCGGCCAGGCAGAACTTGCCCTTCATGACTCCATGCTGACTATTCCTAATCACCTTCCTCTCTTCCAAGTGCTTCAAAATTTAATCCTTGAGGATCCCCTCTATGATTTTTCCAGGGACTGAAGTAAGACTGACCGGCCTATAGTTCCCTGGATCGCCCTTCTTCCCTTTCTTAAAGATGGACACTACATTTTTCTTTTTCCAATCATCTGGGCTCTCTCCTGATTGTCACAACTTTTCAAAGACAATGTCCAAAGGCTCCTCAATGACATTTGCCAACTCCCTCTGGGTATGTCTACACTACCCCGCTAGTTCGAACTAACGGGGTAATGTAGGCATACCGCACTTGCAAATGGAGCCCGGGATTTGAATTTCCTGGGCTTCATTTGCATAAGCGGGGAGCCGCCATTTTTAAAACCCCGCTGGTTCGAACCCCGTACCTGGGGAGTGGGAGGAGGCAGTCCTGGACGAGGGGGTGTATCCCCAGCCAGCCCTTTCACCTGCCTGGTGATCCTGTCAATGAGGATTATGGAATGAGGAGTAACTGTAGTTCGGACTACGAAGCCTAGTCCGAACTACCTAGTCCGTGCCGCGTGTAGCCGCACGGCACAGGGTTCGAACGAGCCGGGATTTAAAAATGGCGGCGCCCGGCTTATGGAAATGAAGCCCGGGAAATTCAAATCCCGGGCTTCATTTGCAAGTGCGGTATGCCTACATTACCCTCCTAGTTCGAACTAGGAGGGTAGTGTAGACATACCCTCAGTACTCTCGGATGTATTAAGTCTGGACCAGTGGATTTATGTAAGTTTAGCTTTTTAAAATCGTTCCCAACCTGTTCTTTCCCCACCAAGGGCTGTCTACCTTTGTCCCATATTGCATCACTTAGCACATTAGTCTGGGAGCTGACCTCGTCCATGAAGACAGAGTCAAAGAAAGCATTGAGTACTTCAGCTTTCCCCACATCATCTGTCACTAGGTTACCTCCTTCATCCAGTAGGGGCCGCACACCCTCTCTGATCACCTTCTTCTTGCTAACATGCCGGTAGAAACCTTTCTTGTTCCCCTTCATATCTCTTATGAGTCGCAATTGCACTTTTGCCCTCCTGATAACTCCCCTGCATTGTTGAGCTATATATTTATACCCCTCCCTAGTCATCGATCCAAGTTTCCACATTTTGTAAACTCCCTTTTTGTGCTTAAGTTCACCAAGGATTTCCCCTGTAAGCCAATCCAGTCTCCTATCATGTTTGCTTCTCTTGCTACGCATTAGAATGGTTTCTTTCTGTGCCTTCAATAAGGCTTCTTTAAAATACTGCCAGCTCTCCTGGGCTCCTTTCCCCTTCCTGTTAGCATCCCAGGGGATTCTGCCCATCATGTCTCTGAGGGAGTCAAAGTTTCCTTTTCTGAAGTCCAAGGTGTGTATTTTACTACCCTCTTTTCTTTCTTTGGTCAGGATCCTGAAATCTACCATCTCATGATCCATCTGATCCGGCGCCCTGTAGCAGGCACCAACCAGAACATCTCTGCTGTTGCTTACACCTCTAACCTTGACCCATAGACTCTCAACAGGCTTTTCTCCCTCTATATATTGAAGTTCTGAGCAATCATACTGCTCTCTTACATGCAATGCAACTCCACCTCCTTTTCTCCCCTGCTTGTTCTTACTGAACAGTTTATACCCTTCCATGACAGTGCTCCAGTCATGTGAGTCATCCCACCAAGTCTCTGTTATCCCAATCAAATCGTAGTTCTTGAACTGGACCAGGGCCTCCATTTCTTCCTGTTTGTTACCTAGACTTCTCGCATTGGTGTACAAATACCTCAGATAACCAGTTGATCACCCTACCCTCTCCATTCGAATCAGGGGTCCTCCTTTGTTGCTCATTCCTCTTTGCATTTCTTTCCAGTATCCGACTTCCTCACTCCTTTCAGGGTTTTGGTCACCAACCTCCAAGAAACCTAGTTTAAAGCTCTCCTTGCTAGGTTTGCAAGCCTGCCTGCAAAGATGCTCTTTCCTCTCTTTGTTAGGTGGATTCCATCTCTTCCTAACAATCCTTGTGCCCGGAACAGAGTCCCGTGCTTGAAGAAACCAAAGCTCTCTCTGTGACACCACCTGCGCAATCATGCTGTCCCCCATGGTTTATCTCAAGCTGCTTAGACCATGAGCTCTTTAGGGCACCAACTTTCTCTTGCTATAGATGCAGTGCCCAGCACAGTGGTGCCTGGACCTCAGTTGAGTCCAGTCAGCAACTATTATAACTCAAATAAATGCTTAGAATAGTTGTTTCAGGGGGGTAGCCAAGTTAGTCTGGACAGGATAAACTCAAAAAACAACAAATGGTCTGGTAGTCCTTTATAGACCAACAAAACATGGAGATGGTATCATGAGCTTTCATGGGCACAGCCCACTTCTTCAGATGTCTTGGGCTGTGCCCACGAAAGTTTAAGTTTATAGACCAATTGTGGCAATTCTGACCCCACCCAGCAGAGGGCAGGGGTGTTGCACACACGTTGGATACTAAATTATAATATTTGCTCTGGCCAGGACTCTGAGCAAGGGGTGTTTGAAGTAAACCAGGGACACACTGGTTTCAGCATATGCACTGTCCTCCCCCCGAGAGTCAGCACCCATTGACGGCTGTGTGGATTCCACCGGTGGGCCAAAGGCACTTTTCCACAGTGGGAAATGAGCATCCGCCCAAAAGTGCAGCTTCAGCTGTTTGTGGTTGTGGAGCTGATTTCTAGTCCAGGGTCCCTCTTATGGCCGGGGAGCTGAAGCCCAGAGATACTGAAACTCTGGAGCCAGACTCTGATTTCACTGATGCTGGTGTAAACCTGGGGTATCTCCACGGAGGCCGGTGGTGTCAAGCTAGCAGAAGGAAGATCTGAATCTGCACCATTTCATTTGTGCTGGACACAATACTACCAGGCATGTGAAGGCTCCCAGGGGCAAAACCAACGCCCCTGATTTAGGACTGGTGCATCGCACGTGCCTTGGCTCACAGTCTGAATGCCCTGCCCGCACCAGCAGTTCTGTGTGCGCCTCCATCCCTCCAGCAAACTCCCTGCGCCATCCGTCCACGCTCCTCTCCTGATCCCTGCAAGACCCCACCTGCCCGGCCTCATGCCTGGCTCCGTTTTCCACTCCTGGCTGTCACCTGAGTCTCTACCCTTGTCTGGAGATGCTGAGTTTTTATTTTCCCAGGAGAGCTAGACCCCTGCTCTGTCCCAGGCCCTGCCCCTACTCCACCCCTGCCACTTTAGGCTCCACCTCTTCCTGTCCCTCCCTCCCAAGAGCCTCTGGGCTGCCACT